CACAGGTGAGTGTCTCTACTAGGCACTGATGGGCACAGGTGGGTGGCACTGCTGAGCACTGATGGGTACAAGTGGATGGCACTTCTGGGCACTGGTGGGTGGCACTGCTGGGCACTGATCATCAGGGCACTGATGATCAGTGCCCCGATGATCAGAGCCGATCTGTCCTCTGACAATTGCCGGGTATCGGCAGTACTTTCCTCAAGCTGTGACAGCGTGAGGAAAGTGCAGCTGATAACTGGCAACTGCATTTACCAGTGATCTGCTGTGTCATTGGACACAGCTGAGCACGTGGTAAAAGGCCGCTGTGATTGGCCTTTTACCCCATCACGTGATCAGCTGTGGTAAATCACTGGGTGCGCACCCACGGGGGTGCGGAGGAGGGCGTGTTCTGGGAGGATATCATATGACACCCTCCCAGAACTGAACAACCGCGCTGTAGCTGTCATTCAGCTATAGCACGGTTGGCAAGTTTTTCTACAGTTGGAAAGATATTGGAGAGTTTAATAAAAGACCACATGGATGAGTTCTTGCTTGAAAAAAAAAATTAAGAAACAGACAGCATGGATTTATGAAAGACAAGCTGTCAAACAAATCAAATTTTTTTATGAGCAGGTGAGCAAACCTTGGACAGAGGGGTGGCGGTGGATGTGGCATGCTTGAAGCATTTGACACAGTTCCCCACACATAGCTAATGTGTAAGGTGAATTCTACAGGCTTGGAAAAATCAGTATGTAAATGAATAGAAAACTGGCTAAAAGACTGAATTCAGAGAGTAGTGGTTAATGATTCATACTCTGAATGGTCTAGAGTCATCAGTGGTGTACCCCAAGGTTCAGTGTTGGGACCCTTACTTTTTAATACATTTATAAATGATATAGGATCTGGGATTAAAAATACTATTTCAGTCTTTGCAGATGACACCAAGGTGTGCAGTGGAATAATGTCCTTACAGGATGTCTCCAACTTACAGGTCTACCTCAATGCACTGTTCAATTGGGCAACTATGTGGCAAATTAGGATCATACATACCAGGGGGAGTACAACTAGGTCGGAGAAGGATCTGGGAGTTCTGGTAGATCGTAAGCTTAATAATGGCACGCAATGCCAAGCTGCGGTTTCTAAAGCGAGCAAAACCCTCTCTTGTATTAAAAGAGGTATAGACTCCAGAGAGAGAGATATTATTTTACCCTTCTACAAATCATTAGTAAGACCTCATCTGGAATATGCAGTTCAATTTTTGGCACCAATTTACAAAAAGAATATTGAAGAACTGGAGAAAGTGCAGAGAAGGGCAACCAAATTGATAAGAGGCATGGAGGAGCTCAGCTATGAGGAAAGAGTAAAGGAATTTAATTTATTATTTATTTCTTTATTATTTATTTCTTGAGAAGAGGAGATTAAGGTGGAATATTACAAACATGTATAAATGCATCAGTGGTTCATATAGTGGACTCGGTGTAGAGTTATTCACCCTGAGGTCATCACAAGGGATGAGGGGGCACTATTTACGTCTGGAGGAAAAGAGATTTAATTTCCAAATACGGAAGCGTTTCTTTACAGTAAGAGCTGTGAAAATGTGGAATAGACTGCCTCAAGAGTTGGTTCTGGCCAGCTCAGTGGATTGCTTTAAAATGGCCTGGCCTCTTTCCTAGATACACATAATATAACTGGATACTAACAGTCATAGGTAAAGTTGATCCAGGGAATATCCAATTGCCTGTTGGGGAATCAGGAAGGAATTTTTTTACCCTGCAGGAGCAAATTGGATCATGTTTTGCTGTGATTTTTTTGCCTTTCTCTGGATCAACTGTGGGTATAGTTTTTTATGGTTGAACTATATGGACTTTTGTCTTTTTTCAGCCAGACTAACTATGTAACTAGCTAGATGCCAGCAGCCTGAGAGTGATTGTCACTGGGTTAAGTTAATTTAGTAATTAACTCTTTAAGCTACCACCACCAGCTTTTGATGGAGAAGGCAGAAACTCACAATATTAGCCAGAACAAATATGAAAAATAAACATCTGTACACACACTGTCACCCTAGACAGGTATATCCAGAGATTTTTCATACACAGTAGCACTCTTCAAGAGACAAGGATTCTTTAGTTTGAAACAGTGTCATTGTGCCATATTCAGGGGAAGGTTCTAGCTGTGGTCATGTGGTGCCCAGTATGTACATATATTAGGAGATGAAGATTTGTTGGCTTGAGTCTTTGGTTGATGTTAAAACGAGAGCTATCAAATCTGCTTGCAATCTCCTTTTTATCTGACATCAAGGGGGGTGAGGACAGAGACCATTTGACCAATTATCCGGTTTGAGGGGTGGGTGCTAGGAGGTCACCACGTTTATCATCAAGTCCCAAATACAGTTCTTATAAGTGTTCATATTTCTGAATACCTGCCATTTACAGTCTGCTACCATGCAGATTATTGTCCAGCATGGAATTAGCTTTAATATGGATATAGATATGACAGGTCTCAGAGATCTATTGCTCATAGGAGGGGGTGTAGAGGCCTACTCCATTCTGATACCTCTTAGCATAGGGGTGTTTGCGCTCAAAATGCTATCCAATAACTTATGAAGGTGAATATGAATTTATTCTGGCTATATTGTCATGATTTCAGAAGTTATGAAACATGTTGACATTTTAGATTCTCGGCTGATAAGCAGCCTATCAGAAATGTGTATTCCACAGACTTCCTCTAAGCATTTATGGACCAATGTCTGTTAGTTCTCCGTATTGCTCAAGCTTGTGAGGGTGACAGTTTTATTAGGGTTTCCAGACTGGAATGGTGGATTGGGCTAATAGGCATGAGAGGGCCTGTATCTGTCCTGGTCTGGTAAGAAGGCTCTGGCATCAGTTAACAGTTGTGTATTGCGCCAGAGGCTTCCTGGGGGGGAATTAATTGAAGGGAACCACTGCTGCTATTCACCAACTTGTGTTACAAACTGTCATGACTGAATTCTAAACAATATGTCAACCTTACCCCTTCACACAGCTTTCTGAGGGCTCGGTATGCATTACTATTACACCACCATGCTCTCTCCTGCCCCCTCTCCCTTGCAGCTCTTCAGGGTTCCCCTCTCCCCTGCCAGCTGCTGCAGGGGATATGTCGGAATGGAGAGCGGGGAAGGGCCAGTAAATGTGTAATTTACCGGCCCCTTCCTTTTCTGAATGGACAGTCAGTAATTGGCACCAATCACTCACTCTGTCCATTCATAACTAAAACAGTAAACTGTGATTATTATGCTTCTGTTTATGAATGGACAGGAAGTTCTGTACAGGGCTATTCCTGTCCATTCATTCTGTGCAGCTGAGGATGCACTGTGTCCTCAATCTCCTTTCTCTGTTCCAAAGGTGGCCCATCAGAGTTCTGTTTAGACCCCTGATATTTCACCAAAGCCCCCCAACAAGACTCAAAAAGACTAAAAAAAATGGTAAAAAATATATATATATCTATAATAAAATAAAAATCTAAATCTACTGATGCCAGTAGCAGAACTACCAGAGTCACAAAGGTTGTACTTGCGAGTGGGCCCTAGCATTCCACCACCAGGCTAGGGGTGAGGGGGGCCCTTCATGGTTTCTTGCTCTGGGGTCCTGAAGCTTCTAGTTACACCACTAATAGGAATTTCCAAATTACAATAGTAACGATTTTCAATGAATCTGAAATCAGTTATAACAAACAACAAATTCATTCATATTCATTCAGATGATATGATGCAATAGTCTGGACCTTATATTAATGTTTGAAGCATCTGAAATAACGTAACAGCATAATGAATGAACCAAATTGATCCAGATCCAGTTCGTTTTTATTTTGCATTAACATTTTTCATTATTATAAAAAATGCACTATATATGAAATGGAAACATATTTCAATAAATACAGTATGGCATAAAACTGAAATAAGATGATGATTCCTACTTATTGTGTTTGGCTTGGATAGAGGTGGATCCATCAGAATCTCTGAATCATAACATAACGAATGAATCCGAAATAAATTTAATTCCATTTGTTCTTTCGGATGCACGTGACTCCAGTCGATATTGTCCAATCAGCTTATTCTATTTCTGTTTGTGGGTTGGACTAGCAGGAATGACTCAGAGTGCATAAGTAATCTCCTAAAATAACGAATTAACACATTAAATTGAATATAGAAAATCTTTCGAAAAATACAAAAGAATCAAAATATACAAAGGTAATATGAGTATACTAATCACCTCATGAAACAATGATGAATAAAAGCAGGGCAAAAAAAAATAAAATTTAAAAATTTAAAAAATTTAAAAAATAAAATATATATACGTATATATATATATATATATATATATATATATATATATATATAATAAACACACTAACAGAGTGAAAATATGACACAAAATATAACACTGTAAATATACACAAATATTTAAATCATTTGACATAAGTCAATCAACTGAAAAATGAAAATTGTGATGAAGTGCAAAGTCCTTATTGATCCACTAAAATCACCATCTGAACAACATAAAGATAATTGAGTAAGTGCACTCAGATATCACCACGTGCTCCAGAGGAAAACCTCCCCCAATTCAGTAGCACTCACCAGATATCGTGGCCCATCCAAACCTGATAGGTAATAGCGCTTATGGTGAGTGTCAACGTAGTACAGATCACCAATCATCAATCAAGGAAAGATGTAAAAGGAAACTCATAGCGTAAATCCATTAACCACTAGCCTACAGGACACTTATACCCCCTTCCTGCCCAGGCCAATTTCCAGCTTTCAGCGCTGTTGCACTTTGAATGACAATTGCGCGGTCATGCAACACTGTACCCATATGAAATTTTTATCATTTTTTTGTGACAGATAGAGATTTCTTTTGGTGGTATTTAATCACTTTTGGGTTTTTTATTTTTTCTTAAACAAACCAAAACCCCTGAAAATTTTGAAAAAAAAAGTTTTTTCTTAATTTTTGTTAAAAATTTTGTAAATAGGTGATTTTTCTCTTTCACTGATGTGCGCTAATGAGGCTGCACTGATGGGCACTGATAGGCTGCACTGATGGACACTGATAGGTGGTACTGATGGGCACTGATCAGGAGGCACTGGTAGGTGGCACTGATGGGCATTGACAGGCATCACTGATGGGCACTGAAAGGCAGCACTCATATATGGCACTGATAGGCGGCACTGACTGGCACTGATAGGCGGCACTGTTTGGCACTGTTAGGTGGCACTGACTGGCACTGTTAGGTGGCACTGATAGGCAGCACTGACGGGCACTGATAGGCGGCACGTATGCACACTGATAGGCTGCACTGACTTGCACTGATAGGCGGCAATGACTGGTACTGATAGGTGGCACTTACTGGCATTGATAGGTGACACTGACTGGCACTGATGGGTGACACTGAAAGGCAGCTCAGATGGGCACTGATATGTGGCATTGATGTGGCACTGATGGGCGCTGGCAGGTGGCATGGATGAGCACTGAGAGCTGGCACTGATAGGTGGCACTGCTGGGGCTACACAGATCATCAGGGCACACTGATCATCAGTGCCCTGATGATCTGTGTAGATGTCCCCTCCGAGGAATGCCGATTACCGGCTCTCCTCTCCTCACAAGCTGTCAGCATGACAGCTCGTGGGGAGAGAAATGCCGATAACTGGCATTTCCCTGTTTACATGTGATCAGCTGTGATTGGAACACAGTTGATCACATGGCCGAGCTGGCATCTTCAGCTCTTTCTGTTGATCGGTGATCCGCTATGTCCGAGGGACACAGCGCATCACCACGCTGCGCGCGCTCCCAGAATGGGAGGACGTCATATGATGTCCTCCCAGAATGAGAGAACCGCCTAGCGTCCGTCATTTTACTATATGGCAGGCGGGAGGCAGTTAAAGACCATTTATTGGTTAGAAAGTATTGCACTCACATGAAATAAATGAAAGCATGCCAAAATATCCAAAATAACCGTTAAGGGTATCTGCATATCACATGAAGCGAGCGTCTCACCCGATCCTCCTCGCTGCACATGAGAAATACGTCACTACCGACGGGGGATGTAAGGTGGATGCCTCATTACAGAATATGTTGTGAGGCCTGACCCTGGATTATGTAATGGTGCATGAATCCCTGTGATTTGTTGTCTGTGGAGAAGTGCTGTACTGCAAGGAGGAGGGGCTGTGGACTTGACTACCCAGGATACCCTGCAGCAAGAGGAGGAGAAAGCAGAGTTTTCCCAGGCTTGGAGCCATAGGTCTGGGTCTTCCAGTGTGGGGAACTGGAGGATGCAGACCTTAGTGCTGTGCACAGAGACTGAGCCATTTAGAGTCACTTGCTGCTGGGGGCTGGAGTGGTGCAGACCTGCTGCCTGCAAATGTGCTTGTGCTTACACCAGACAGAGACACCAAGGACCAGAGAGCTGGAGCAGAGCCAAGAGGACCTGATTGTGAGGACTGAGTTACTGGAGCTGGGTTCCCGAGAACAGCACATGCCAAGCATCCAAGACAAGGTTCGTGATGTGCCAGTACTGGTGAGCAGATTCAGCTGTGCTTGCTTTCCCACTGTTAGCGATCCAACACAACTGGAGACTACCCTTTGCCTATCAACCCGAAAGTAACTCATTGCATGCAGTATTAAAGAGATGGAGAAAGAGATAAGTGCACCACCATACACATTGGGCACCATCGTTAGCCAGCTGAAGTGAAGTTAGGCACCAGGTACTATACAACCACCTCTCAGAAGTACCTGAGAGGTACTTTAGGAGAATGTATTATACTTAGACTATACACAGAGTGCACTCTGGGGCACATTTAATTACATATGCAGAGAGTTATTATGAGACTTTTCATTACCGTTTAAGCTTCTTGCTGTTTATGCTGTTCTTCATTAATGTTGCAGGTGCCACGATCACGGCGTCAGATCCCAGACCTTCTCACCAAAACTCGTGACCGAAGGGCTAGCCGACCTAAAACCGCGTTGTGACGTGCGTAACAATGCCACACCCAGCTGCACCCTGCACAACGATTTTCCAGCTAATGGATACAGATCGACGTGGCAGCAGCCTGGATTGATTGTTACTGGGTCAGGTTAATTAGGCAATTAACCATTCACACTGCCACCACCTCCTTTTTATTCAGAGAAAGAGGAAACTCGACATTCAGCTATAACGCTATAATGGTTGATATAATCAACTGCATAACCCGGTCATAATACAGGCCTGTTATACAGAGGGTTAAAACAAACAGTAGCGTCTCTTCAAAGGCAGGGATTCGTAAATTGCAATTAAGAGCTATAGAAACAGTTCAACACTTTCAGAAAGAGTGATTTATTACTAAAAGGGTCAAACAGGTGCAATAAAATATCTACAGAAAAAAGATGTAACCAAGATATATATATATATATATATATATATATATACATATACAGAAAACAGCACAGCACCGCAAAGAGATAATAGGGAGAAGTTAAAGGGTTAAGTTACTTGCCATTAAGCCTTGGATGTAAGCAGATCACGTTTCAGAGCGAAAGGCACAGGTCTCCCCAGGTGGTATATTGATGTTAAAATGGGAGATGTCTTCAACTCCTACTCTTAGGCTTGACAGCCTGTTTTAAAGTTTCCCAGCAGGGGGTGGTTCTGAAGTAAAAGACCAATCCCCTGTTTAGGGAGGGATTGTCAGGCAGAACCCTAAACTGGAGACAACATCTTTCATAACTCATATTCTGGTCCATAACTTTCCATCTGCACAAGCGACAGTCCCCGCGCGAGTATATTATTATGCAGACCAGTCTGAGGATTATTATTTAGATATGAATTATGAAATTATATATTGCACGGTTCACGAGTTCTATGTTTTGGCTTCCCTGATGGTCCGAGGTAAGGCGAGTGACCCATCAAACTGTTCGCCTGCTCATCGTCCATTCAATGATATATCCGGCTTTTAAATGTGTCTCTCATATTCCAAGATATGAGACATAGGGGAAAAAGGGATCTTTTAAAAATGTTATCTGGTATGGGCTTCTTGGGAATGCCTTGAACTCCTGGGAAGGCTCCTTTATCTTTTTACGAGGTGTGAAATTACACAGGTTCTTTGGGCAGTGCAGCACCATGTGGCTCCCTGCTGGGATCTGGCCTGTGACACTTTTAACACACACACATCTGTCACTGTGCCTCTTCGGAAGGGAGGGGGAAGGAGAATGAGGGAATAACATGGCTACTCTTAACAAAATGGCAGACTGCGTCAGTCTCTGGTGCCCACGTTTGCAACAGCATGTACCAGGTTAATAAAGTTTAATATTGCTGTGATCGAGGATAACTGCCATAAGATCCTAATATCCATGTTGGTTATTTTACTGCATTCTAATGGGTTCTTTACCTGTTCATTAATGTTGGTGCATTGTCATTTATTTCCCCTTTTGACAATATACTTACTTTATTGACAACCTATATCCTGGTGTTTGTTGCCTATATGCTAATACAGCTGTGGTTAGTATTCTAATACCTGAGCTGACCTAGGTGTTTGCAGCATCCTAATTCTCAACCAGGTATGTTAGCAGGATCAAAGCAGTTCTCAGAGTCATGGCAAAGAGCAGAGGACCTATCATACTAAGCGGATCTTCCGGGGGTAAGAGCTACATGTGTAATTTTAGATTTTTACAATTTCATGCTGATCTTTATGTAGGCAGGTGCATGTTGCTCCAACATGTACAGTTGCAAGAAAAAGTATGTGAACCCCTTGGGATTTCGTGGAGTTTTGCATGAATTGGGCATAAAATGTGCTCTGAACGTCATCTAAGTCACAACAATAGAACAACACAGTCTGCTGAACATAATACTACACAAACATTAGATGTTGCCATGGTTTAATTGCACATAACATGTAAACATTCACAGTGCAGGGAGGAAAAAGTATGTGAACCTTTGGACTTAATAACTGGTTGACCCTCCTTTGGCAGCAATAACCTCAACCAAACGTTTCCTGTAGTTGCAGATCAGACCTGCACAACGATCTGGAGTCATTTTGGACCACTCCTCTTCACAAAACTGTTTCAGTGTAGCAATATTCTTGGGATGTCTGGTGTGAATCGCTCTCTTAAGGTCATGCCACAGCATTTCAATCGGGTTGAGGTCAGGACTCTGACTGGGCCACTCCAGAAGGCGTATTCTGTGCTGTTGCAGCCATTGTTTTGTTGAATGACTTGTATGCTTTGGGTCATTGTCCTGTTGCATCACCCATCCTCTGCAGAGCTTCAGTTGGCGGACAGATGGTCGTACGTTTTCCTGCAAAATGTCTTGATAAACTCTGGAATTCATTTTCCCATCAATGACAACAATCCGTCCAGGCCCTGAGGCAGCAAAGCAGCCTAAACCATGATGCTCCCTCCGCCATGTTTCACAGTGGGGATGAGGTTTTGATGTTGGTGTGCTGTGCCTTTTTTTCTCCACACATAGTGTTGTGTGTTCTTCCCAAACAACTCAATCTTGGTTTCATCTGTCCACAGTATATTTTGCCAGTAGTGCTGTGGAACATTCAGGTGCTCTTTTGCAAACTTCAAACGTGCTGCAATATTCTTTTTGGACAGCAATGGCTTCCTCCGTGGTGTCCTCCCATGTACTCCATTCTTGTTTAATGTTTTCCTTATTGTAGATGTGTCAACAAAAATGTTAGCATGTGCCAGAGATTTCTGTGGGTCTTTAGCTGACACTCTGGGATTCTTCTTTACCTCATGCAGCATTCTGCGCTGTGCTCTTGCAGTCATTTTTACAGGACGACCACGCCTAGGGAGAGTAGCAAAGTGCTAAACTTTCTCCATTTGTAGACAGTCTGTCTTACCGTGGACACATGAACATCAAGGCTTTTGGAGATACTTTTGTAACCCTTTCCAGCTTCATGCAAGTCAACCATTCTTGATCGTAGGTCTTCTGAGAGCTCTTTTCTGCAAGGCATGGTTCACATCAGACAGTGCTTCTTGAAACCATTAAACCCAAAACAGGTGTGTGTTTTTGTAAGGGCAGGACAGCTGTCAGCAACACATCCAATATCATCACACTGATTGGAGTCAAGGTTGGCTCACTCCTGGCTCCGATTAGCTCTGGGAGAAGTCATCAAGCTAGGGCCTCACATACTTTTTCCTCCCTGCACTGTGAATGTTTACATGTTATGTGCAATTAAACCATGGCAACATCTAATGTTTGTGTAGTATTATGTTCAGCAGACTGTGTTCTTCTATTGTTGTGACTTAGATGACGTTCAGAGCACATTTTATACCCAATTCATGCAAAACTCCACAGAATCCCAAGGGGTTCACATACTTTTTCTTGCAACTGTATGTGGTGTTGTGCCACTTCACCAGGTGGAGAGGAGCTCAGAGTGGAACCGACTCCCCATGTGGGCTCCAACATTCATACTGAGGAAGACAGTTGTCTGATTGGATGCTGAATTCTTGTGGTGGCCATCTTGCTGAGGGACCTGATGTA